CCCCCCCCCCGTCCCACCAAGCCCAAAAAAGCCCGGTCTAGATAGGGTTAAACTAGTTTTTATCTGGTAAAGAGATAACAGTTGTTACATGTTGTTTTGTCTTCCAGCTTTTCAACATCTTTGTCAGTGTTCAAGGCCTCTATGCTATTGAAGTTTTGCAGTTCAACCCATTGTAAGCATGGCCTTATGTACTGAAGACTATATGATACAATTCTTAATATGAGTTTAAATGAGTTTGAATCTATATGTTTAGGATTGCTGCAATGGCTGACTAGCTAATATTCCGATTATAGTTACTCAGTAAAATGCTCTGAGCTAGTTGCCATTACATGATGCCTGTTACAATCGTGTACGTTTTATCATTGCAGTAAAATTTTTCATTACCGGTACTTAAAACACTGCTCAGTACTGGTTCATACAGCAAAATCTAGTTTTACTTTATACTTATTAATAGTTTTCAATAAACCATTACGTTTACTGTAGATGTATTGTGATAGAGCTAGCATGAGGTTGGTTGTATGTCACCCTGTGGCTTTATAAATTTTAAGAACAATTCTGAGGACCAGGAAGTTAGTTTGATTATGGCCAAAATTTATTAGCACAGCCAGCAAAAATCAGGATATCTGTCACTCACTTGAGCCTTGTGCACGTGGCGTAGTTAAATTTGCCAAGGTCTTTTACCTATCACCCAGTCAAGTCACCAAGAGTTAATGTTTGGTGTTTCTGTTTCTTGTTACCCCCAGGCCTAACCTGATCATAGCACATGCCCAATTTGTGGTCCAACCCTCTGCCCTGGTGGAGGTACAGACTACGTTTTCCACTGCTGTGTCTGGTGGCTTCCTGGACACTCTGCCTGTGGATCCTTTCAGGACAACTATTGAAGACTTTGGTAAGCCTAGTAGTAATAGTAGTAGTAGTAGTAGTAGTAGTAGTTGTTGTTAGTATAGTAGTAGTAGTTAAGTACTGGTAGTAGTTGTACTAGTAGTAGCAGTAGTAGGAGTAGTAGATAGTAGTAGCTGTAGTAGTTGTAGTAGTAGTAGTACTGTAGTAGTAGTAGTAGTAGTAGTTAGTAGTAGTAGTAGTAGTAGTAGTAGTAGTAGTAAGTCGTAGAAGTACCGGTAGTTGTATAAGTAGTAGTATAGTTTGTAGTATCCACTCTTTGATAATGCTGCTGCAGGGGCCCCTGACACGTCGGCTAGTCTTAAACACCGCATTTCCACTTCTACTTTATACTTCATACATGTGTATAAAGTTGCAGTAAAGTTTATTTCTAAATGTGTTACACTGATAGCAATATTAACAGGAAATCTCCATAATCAAATATTATATACTAAATAACTGCTTTTAAGCTTTCCTGACCAACAGGGAGCAAACAGTAGTGGTTGAAGGGAAGGCGTCGGCTCCAGTTAAAGTAGCGTCTGGGGTCCCTCAAGGAACCGTCCTGGGGCCATTGCTCTTTCTCTTGTATATAAATGACCTACCAGATCAGCTTGACTCAAATGTGAGGTTATTTGCCGATGACTGTCTATTGTATGTAGAGCTTTCTACACAGACCGACTCACAACTTCTCCAAAAAGACCTTAACACCCTGGAAGAATGGCAAAGCAAATTGCTCATGCAGTTTAATCCCAAAAAATGCTACATTATGCACATAACAAACAAACGAACACCACATGCAACTAGCTACCAGTTCTGTGGTCAGGCTTTAGCAACCACAAAAATCCATCCGTATCTGGGCTTCACACTGACAAGCGGACTGAAGTGGGGTGCACATATTAATAATATCACAACTAAGGCGAAACAGACATTGGGAGTGATTAAACGTAATCTGTGGGCATGTCCAACTAGAGTAAAATCACTTGCATACACGTCACTTGTAAGACCGAACCTAGAATATGCTGCGACAGTATGGGATCCATATACAAAGAAAGACAAAGACAAATTGGAAAGGGTACAGAATCAAGCTGCAAGATTCTGTATGAACAACTATGAAAGAGGTGCTAGTGTCACGGAAATGAAAAGAAACCTACAGTGGACCTCACTGGAAGACAGAAGAAAGATGTCCAGACTATGCATGATGTACAAAATGACTAATAAACTGGTGGATGTCCCAACTACTAAGTACCTAATACCAGCCCAGAAGAGAACAAGAAATAGCCATGCATTCAAGTACCAGAGTTATCAACCAAGGATTGAGGTGTTCAAGAATTCATTCTTTCCTAGAACTATCGCAGAGTGGAACTCACTGTCACCAAATACAGTAGGGGCATTGTCAATAGATAGCTTTAAACAATGTCTAGAGCTAGAAGTTCAAGGGTTAGGTGTAATATAGCCAGCTGCCGCAGCGCCGCGTGCCTGCGAAGCTGGTGTGTTACGCCGAAAGGCGGTTATACCGGCTATACAGATACAGATACAGAAGTGCCCAGAGTTTTCTATAGCATTAGATATCATGCAGGAGTACTAGTAAGCTTAGATTAGCAACAACATTAGCAACAATTTCAAGTGTTGCTGTTTTTCTTACAGATGCCGGGTGTTTCACCCCTCTGGATATTGCCATACTGTTAGACGGTTCTGACAGTGTGAGTTCCGATGACTTCCAGTCCGAAAAGGCCTTTGCCAAACTCTTCCTGAATGAGTTTGACATCGGGCAGGACAACAGTCGGGTGACGGTGTTCCAGTACGGGACGGAGCCGAGACAGGAGTTTGCCCTGGACACGTTTGAAACAGACGGGGATGTGCAGGCTGCGATAGCAGACACAGAGTACATGGGAGGGAGTAGGAACCTGGGACAAGCCGTCCGCTACATGGCAACGTACGGGTTCTCTAGTAGGAACGGAGCCCGCACGTCTGTCCCCAGTGTAGCCATAGTCATCACAGGTATGTGTGTATAAAGTGTGTCTAGTCACCACAGGTATGTGTGTATAAAGTGCGTATAGTCATCACAGGTATGCATGTATGAAAATGTGTCTAGTAATCACATGTATGATTGTGTGTATAAAGTGTGTCTAGTCATCACAGGTATGTGTGTATAAAGTGTGTCTAGTCACCACGGGTATGTGTGTATAAAGTGTGTCTAGTCATCACAGGTATGTGTGTATAAAGTGTGTATAGTCATCACAGGTATGTGTGTATAAAGTGTGTCTAGTCATCACATGTATGTGTGTATAAAGTGTGTCTAGTCATCAAAGGTATGTGTGTATAAGTGTGTCTAGTCATCACAGGTATGTGTGTATAAAGTGTGTCTAGTCATGGCAGGTATGTGTGTATAAAGTGTGTATATGCATCACAGGTATGTGTGTATAAAGTGCGCATAGTCATCACAGGTATGTGTGTATAAAGTGTGTCTAGTCACCACAGGTATGTGTGTATAAAGTGTGTCTAGTCACCACAGGTATGTGTGTATAAACTGTGTCTAGTAATCACATGTAATAATACTATGTGTGTATAAAGTGTGTCTAGTCATGGCAGGTATGTGTGTATAAAGTGTGTCTAGTCATGGCAGGTATATGTGTATAAAGTGCGCATAGTCATTACAGGTATGTGTGTATAAAGTGCGCATAGTCATTACAGGTATGTGTGTATAAAGTGTGCATAGTCATTACAGGTATGTGTGTATAAAGTGTGCATAGTCATTACAGGTATGTGTGTATAAAGTACATATAGTCATCATGTATGCGTGTCATCACAGGCTAATATCGTAAATTATAGGTAAAAATGATGTAAATAATATGTGGCAGCCATCGAGGACCCCTTTGGGATTAACCCGAATCTGCAAAATTGTGGAAACTGAAGCCAGAATTATTTATTCTGGAAACCAAAAATTCTGCAGAATTGGGTTAATCCAAAAGGGGTCCTCGATGGCCGCTACATATACATTTTGTACATGCTCCTTATATCATTATTACCTATAGTTTACAATATTAGCCCATCTGGATGTGAGGTTTCAGACATATGGAAATTAATCCAGAATTAACCTGGAAGCTGTTCTACTCAATTTGGTCCTTTCTACTTGTTACAGCAAGATTTCCGTTGGAACCTTTCTAATGGGGGGTATTTCAGCACCAAGGACAGGGACATACATTGTTTTGACATTTGAAACCTTACAGCCCACTCTTGCACAGCTTTTACTGTCCTACACAAAACTGGTGTGTGAAGTTTACCAGTTATGCTAAGATACAAACACATTCAACAAACAAACAAACAAACAAACAAACAACATCCATCCACACAGGTGGTGCCTCCCTTGATGATGTGGCCGCTGCTGCCAGCAAAGCCAGGCGGTCTGGTATAATCCTGTACACCATCGGAGTCGGAAACGCAACTGTGCCTTCAGAACTGGCTGCCATAGCAACCACCGTCAACACCAGCTACACTGCAGCCAGCTTCGCCGCGCTGAGAGACCTGCGTACCACGCTGGCTGACGAGATCTGTACCAGTAAGTTTGTCTAAAATGTGCTGGTTCGGAAGTTGTACTTCAATTCATGATTAGAAGCAGAGCTATTGTTCACATTGTTCTCACCCAATTTTAACAAATTACCATATTAAATGTTCACAGATAAGAGTTGAGAGACTATATTATAGGTAGATAGATAAATACATGTAGATAGATAGATGGATAGATTGATAGATAAATACATGTAGATAGAAAGATAGATAGATAAAGATAGAAAGATAGATAGATAGATGGATAGAAAGATAGAAAGATAGATACTATTAGATAGATAGATAGAAAGATAGATAGATAGATAGAAAGATAGATAGATAGATAGATAGATAGATAGATAGAAAGATAGATAGATAGATAGAAAGATAGATAGATAGATAGATAGATAGATAGATAGATAGATAGATAGATAGATAGATAGATAGATAGATAAATTGATATACAAAAGCACATTGTACATAACTGCACTCCTTTCCCCAGGATGTCAATACACGGCATAATCTCCTTGACTATTCTACTTTGATGAGAAGGGGGTAACAGTTAACTGAATCATTGTGATTAATGCAGTGGGTTCACAACATAGCCACTATCTGTTTTATTGATTTTCAAGTTTTACTTGGACTTGATTTATCATGAATGCTGTAGTAGTGGACCTTCACTGGATTTTCTTTCAAACAGGAAGCTTTTATATTTAGAAGAGAAGCTATAATTATAGAAACTAGAACCGATTTCGTTTCATTGCAATAATTTCAATGTTTGAATAGTTAGTTAATCTTTTCTTTGAAACTAAATGTTACAATTATATCTCTTCACAGTTGGCACAGTGCAGATTGCCTCAATGGACATCAGTGAGGATGTGACTGACCTGAGTGACTCTGCTGAGTACCAGGCACTCAAGGCCAAGGTCCAACAGGATGTGAGTGTCCTCTAGTTCACATTGTATTCAGAACCGTACCTATCTAGTTCTATATCTGACTGTGTTAGGGTTAGGGCCGACTGTGTTAGGGCTGACTGTGTTAGGGCTGACTGTGTTAGGGTTCTATATCTGACTGTGTTAGGGTTAGGGCTGACTGTGTTAGGGCTGACTGTGTTAGGGCTGACTGTGTTAGGGTTCTATATCTGACTGTGTTAGGGTTCTATATCTGACTGTGTTAGGGTTCTATATCTGACTGTGTTAGGGTTCTATATCTGACTGTGTTAGGGTTCTACATCTGACTGTGTTAGGGTTCTACATCTGACTGTGTTAGGGTTAGGGCTAGGCACAATCATGGATAGCCTCCGCGTGTCCAAGATTGTAGGCCCCCAGGGGTCAATTATTCTAATAACTGACCACTTAAGATTATGCACCAGTTGTAACATTTTACATGACACTATGGCGTCATAACTAATATGAAATTGGAACTTTTGATTGGTCAACGTCAACTGGGCATATAATAATGAAGGTTATAGATCTTTTGATATATCTTGTTGAATATAGTGGTGAAAATAGGCTTAAGAGTTTAACAGTTGAAAGAGTTTTGTCAGAGTTATATTTTTAAATATACATTTTAAAATGAGAATATTTCTCCCCAGGTGGCAGAAGTCATCGGCCCAGCGGGTGCTGAACAGGTCAACGTCCTGGGACTCCGGGTCCTGCCCTAAACAACAACAAGGGCTGAACTTGAACATTCCCCTTGTTACCCCCCCCCCCAAACAAAAAAATGCTTGCCTGCTGATAACATGCATTTTACATGCTTTGCATATATAATCTTTACTTAACTTCCTTTTTGATTACCATAACTAGTGTTGAATATAGCTAATATGTAGTATTGAAATTTTAACGTTTCTATTGACATAGCACTATTGTATTCTATAAGTAAAGATAGTCTAAATATATCAGCAGTACTACACTCACTCACTCACTGCACGGCTTAACGTCCGTTGTTGATAACCTGTTATCAACAACGTACTAGCATGTACTAATTAGTTAAGATAGTTAAGATAATGAACATTTGGAATCAAATGAAGACGGTAATTGGAGAATGAGATCCACCTGTTTGAGGAATGACCACCATTGTGAAATTATGAGACGTTGGAACAATCTTGAAGAAAAGACATTATTTATAAATGTCTGGAAAGCCTCACTTGAAGAAGCCCTGTTCAATATGATTCCTTATTTCATAGTTAAGAAGCAATATGTAACTAGTAAATAAACTTACTTATAACTTATATTGGAACATACCGAGATGAAATTTGATACTTTCATTCAAACGCAACCGAGACGGGGGCTGATATCACCTGTCCGGCAATAGTACCATCCATTACTTGTGCCACGTGTCCCTAAGGTCACGTGTTCAGTGTAATTGAATTAACATCACTCCTGAAGAAGGTCGGCATAACAGCAACGGAAAATTCAAGTGGAGCTACTTTTGCTTGTATAGAACGAAACTATCGAATTTCATCTATTAAACTTCTTATAGATTTTAATTAATCTTTCCTTTAAAATACTAGCTACTCACAGTCCCCATTTTGCTTAGGATTAAGCCCCTATAGATATATTTGCCAGGATTGGTTCAACCTAGAAAAGTTACCATTCTGAGTTCGGTTATCAACAGCAAGGAGCAGGTAAACTAAAAGAACATCAGTATCATATCGGGCAGCCTATGTAATCGTTTTTTTCTTTTCCTAGTCCCTTTTAGAGCTGAATGACCATAGAGATCAGGGTTCTCACCAGGATTTTTTCACAGCGTAGGGGTCAGGTATAGAAGGGCAACTTTCCGCGGCGCGAGTCACGCACCGAGTCCCCAAAACATGGGCCTGATATTCTCCCCCCAAAATTTTGTAACTCATATTAACCACTTAAGACACTATTTATTGTTTATTGGGGGACAGATTTTGTTTTCCCTCTGTTATAGCTTCATTCTTAAGTTATATTTTCATTTTTTTTAAAGATTAATGAAGCTTCTGCCCCCCAAAACCACCCCTACGCTGGTTGAAACACAGTGTAGGGGGCTAAATCACAGCGTAGGGGGTCAAAATCACAGCGTAGGGGGCCCCTACGCTCAAACAGCCTAGTGAGAACTATGGAGATATTTCATCTCTTATAGAGTAAGAATTCTTACTATGCTAACGCTGTGTGGCAGCTGGAATAAAGGCTTATGCAACCAATTGTGTTTTCTTCGACAATTTTTTATTGTTTTGAAAAAAAGTGAATTTAGAATTCAGTAAGTTTAGCATCGAATTTTCACACACTATGAACTGCCAGAGGGAGACTGAAGAACACACACGCAAACACACGCACACGTGGAAAATGCCAGGCGAAAGGAACGTGGGATGGAACTACCCGCATGTACCATCAAATCATCCAAATTCAAAGATTTCAAGGAAAAAAAAGAAAGCATTTGTTGGTTGGCTGGCATACCATATATACATGCTCTGCGTGTTCAGCCATTTGTTTAACCTTCCTGGTCACGTTTTTTTTACCGAACTCGTATCAGTTTCGGGGTGCCCCGAGGATGTGATCCTTATTATCAGATGCGTATGGCCTCATACGTTATGTGTGTATTTACACGGTTTGTGACGCCCCCTATCCAATGTGAGCAGTACTGTTGGTAGTCTAGATACTTCTAAAGCAACAGGTTTGACTCAGAGGTAAATCCTGCCAACAGAGGTCTATAGATAGAGGCACAGACAGACCCCGGCACAGTCTCTCTCTCTCTCTCTCT